TAGTGCCAAGCGGTGATACCGAGGTCAAGCATTTATCTGGCCTATTTACCTACTATAGGAAGCCAAATTTGTACTATATCCACATGGGCGCACGCAAAGCAAACTACAACCCAAACTGAGTGAAAACAAGGTTCTCATTTGGGAGAATGCCTCTATCGAAATTGCATTACAATATATTTTATTGCTACAAGTAGATACCGCAACTAGTATTAGCCGCCTCAGCATTCACATACTAACAGCAATTTCTCGTCCTCGTAGTCGAAAACTTGGTAAAATTTGACACAGATTCGGTGATAGCGTCGAGTGCGCGGAAGACAAGGCCAACCATGACGTGCTCTGGCCACGAAAACGTATCACTCGGAATAGCAGAAATTTAGGTTGATTAGAAACTCCGTACTGACTTAAATCAGCATCCACCGTGAATTATACATTAGACAGATATAATTACAGTTCTATTAACGCTCCGCTGAATTGCCAGTCATAAGTGTATGGTAGAATTTGTGCTACTATTTAGTAACGCTCTGTCTGAACCCATAAACTGTTCATGAACTTAACCCAATAGGAGGCCATATATGTAATCCCTACCAGCATATTTGCCCACGTTGCTGGCTAAGACATAATTTGTTAGAAGTATTCAACCAATATTCCAATTTAAAATAATCGAATTTGTCTTTTTAATAGGTTGGTAGCTTTAACGACATTCAGCAGCAAATTGCATCTTTTTTAGATGAAAAAGCAGCTTTTCAGCTTAAAAAAAAACATTCAGTGTTGTCGAACAATAATGAGCCCGGAAGGCAGTTGACCAGCGTTGACTTGAGTTCTGCTGCCTGCAGTACTTAAGAACGTCTTCAACAAACAAATGTCTCTTAACAAAGGCCTATCTTGAGGGCCTCAGGGAACTCCAATGAAATGAAAAGATCGTGCAGACCAGTCCAGACAAAGGGTCCGGAATAGTACTGATGAATAATAAGGATTATGTCGCGAAACTAAAAGTTATCTTAGTAGATCGTACAAAGTTCTCAAAATCCGTGAATGACAAGGGTCGGACAGAGGCTGACACATTTTTTGTCTGACATGGAGCTCGATAGACTGACACTTGTAAACACGACGATACCCAGAAGATCTGGCCTTCCGAAAAGAAATAAAAAGGGGACTACCCTTGCGTTCTATCTTGGATAAAAGAAACTTTCCCTTTCATTCCATTGCCAAGTGGGTGGTAGAAAAGCTGAAGCCGCTTCGAAGTTACCTATAACGCCGAAAATTGAAAGATGCACATGAGTTCGTCGAAATTATAAAAGAAT